ATGAAGATGATAATATCTATGATTAACACCCTCCACAATAAAAATGATTAATCAACCTCTCATAATTACCAAAAAATGAACAAAATGAAAAATTATGATTGGTCGAATGCGGTTTGCACGGTTTGTACAAATTGAGTGGTTTGCATTTGATCGCTCCCCTATATAGATATATATATTAATAATGTATAAATTTTACATAATTTTTATTGATATTATATTTTGTTTCATTTTAACTAAACGTATAGGTTACCAAAAGATAGTCACGATCAAAGAATGATGACAAATAATCTAATTAATAAGGAAAATTATTGATTTTTTTTTGCAGCAACAACAAATTGATATGTTGGAAAATATAAATAATATTGATAGATATTTGATGGACGAATCCATCAATCTATGACGCTTTTAAGGAGTTACATTAGAAAAATGTCTTATTTAAAAGAGTTCCAATATGTTTATAGGATGGTTTTGGACGTCTTAACAAATTATATGATGCTTTTAAAATAAAATGTCGTATTAGTTATTTTATACAATACGACTTGAAAAAAATGCAATATGAGCATAGGTGTCCTATAAATAGATGAGTTTACAGGACACTTCTCAAAATGTTTCTATAAAATAACCAATACGACATTTTATTTAAAGATCGTTCTAAAACACTTGTTGAAACGTCAAAAAACGTTCTATAAACCTATTGCAACATTTTTAAATAAGACGCTTTATAGTATGGTCTATAAACTTAAGATTTATGAATTATTTCATTCGTCAAATTATGTAACTACTAACCCGCTAACCCAACCCGCCTCAACCCGCAAGGGTAGGGTTGGGTTATACTTTTGAATGGGTTGGATTGGGTTGAGATTTTCCAAACCGCTATAATTGGGTTGGGTTATAAAATTGTTGTAAACCGTCCAACCCAACCCACGTTCACCCCTATCAGCAATTGCCAAACAGTCCCTAAATCTGTGAGTGTATTTGTAGTGATAATAATGAATATAATGGGACAAAAGCTGAAAAAAGGGGTGACTTTCTTCTATCCATCATGGGACACTCCTTCCCTATTTGAAACCATGCTTTCTAAACGTCGCTCCATGGTTTTGTTTGTTTCACACTTCAATTCCTTTTCCAACTATTTTTGGGGCCACATGTCAATTCCTTCATTTTGGATACAAATATAACAATAAACTAACATCGGAATTTTTAATAAGAGCAAACTATACATTTGGTATAATGAAAAAAACATTCTGTTTAAAAATTACAAGATGACTATCATGGTTTGCCAAAAAAAAAAAAAAACATCCATATTTGGTTCCTCAACTCAACGGCCGTTAAAAAATTACGATAAATGATTTTTTTTCTCGATTTTTTTGTCTTTTAACCGATCAAAATTGATTTTATGATTTGGTCAATCTAGTTTTTGATCGAGTAAATGACAAAAAAAAATCAATATAAGACAAAAATACCCCTCATTTTCCTGGAATTTTTAACGGTTGTTAGAGGGAGGGATCAAATCTAGACGTTTTCACAAACCATGGTAGCTATCTTGTAAATTCAAATATGGGGGAACGAAATGTGTTATTTTTTACAAACTACAGGAACGAAATTTACATTGTAGCTTAGGGATCGTTTACCAAACGTTTAATGGGATAAACGTTTACCGATAAAATTCAACGTTGTCACTAACTTATCGGGTAAAGTTTTAGTCCACTAAAATAATATCATATGCAACAATTTACCCAGTAAATGCTAACCATAGTAAAATCGTCGCCACCACTTACCGAGTAAGACCCTCGGTCTTCGTCTTCGCTCTTATCGGATAAGATTCTTGTTCATTGCCATATTCATCCAAATAAAATAATATGACTTGATAAACACTTACTCAGTAAACATTTGATAATCATCCCCATATTCTTTTATTAATAAATAAAAGACTAAGATTCGTACATTCAACAAAATAGAATATATGGCTTTTATTAAATATATAATTAGGCAAATGAGAAAGATTTGATACGAGTACAAAATCCTCTACAAATTAACAAGTCAAATACATGGTTAGCAGCCACAACTTATTTTATCTCATCAAATAATTACAAAGATGCTTATTGCTTCTTTTAATTCATACATTCAGTGCTTAATCAATCATCCAAATTCTTGTTCCAAAAATATTATGTAAATAAACCACTTCCATAAATTACCAACCCATAATTTGTCTCTTTATAAAACCTTATTAAATTAATTTAAAAATAGTGTTTTAAAAAAAGAAGTATTTTGAGTAAAAATCGTTAAAGTCCAATCGAATTAGTATTCAAACAGTTAAATAAATTATTAATCAATTATTATTTATCGATAAATAATTGTAATTTATAATAAATTGTCTTAATGACATGCATAATTAACTAATATAGAACCAGATATTATATTTTTTTAATTTTTTAAACAATATAAATAAGTTTCATAAAATACATTAACCAAATTACCAAAGAAATATTAGATTGATGGGCCGTTTGGGTCAAATAGATTGATGGGCCGTTTCGGTCATGCAAAGCTTAGTATAGCCCAACCACGATCATATTGTAATCATGTAATGTTAACAGATATCCAAATATTTTCTAATTTATTATATTAAGAGACTGTTTACCAAACACTTACCCGATAAATACTTACCGGTAAATTTAACACTGACATTTACTTGCCGGATAAGATTTTAGTCTACCAAAACGGTATCGTATGCAACAATTTATCCGGTAAATGCTTACCGTGATAAAAGTCGTTGTCTTCACTTACCGGATAAGACTCTTGTTTCTTATCTCCCTTTTACCGGGTGAAATTTTTGAATCTTACCATATTCATCCGGTAAAGTAAAATAACTTGATATACACTTACCCGAATAAACATTTGATAGACGACCCCTTAATTTTTTTTTTATATAATTAAACCCCTCCATAAATAACATACCTAGTGACATCGAGAACATAAAACCAACAAATCTTTCCAATTTAATGGCTAAGAACTATTGACATTTTGATGATTTTTGAAAGAAAAATATCAAGAAATGTAAAGGACGTTTAAAAATAACTATTTCAATTTAATAATTAAATATCTAAGTAAAATAGAATGAAAAATAATAATAATTGAACAAAACGACGCCGCCCACAAACCAAAAATCTCCGTAAAGTTATATATAAAATTAAAACTCATGTAAAAATAATCAAATATTAAAACCCTAAATTGTCGTTTTCGGTTCCTCTTCTTCCTGGTTCTTCTCCGTAACCTCCACTTCTTCTTCGTCAGCCACCGCCGGCACAAATCTTTTCCAAAACGGGTGCTGCTTCCAAATTCCGGCCATCTCTTCTATCGGAATTCCCTTTGTCTCCGGAAAATACTTGTGAATGAAAACCGTCATCACCAACACCCAGAACATAAAGAATATAAACAATCCAAACCTGAAAACACACAACATCTCCAGGAAGATCTGAGCAATGAAGAAGGTGAAGATCATGTTGACGGAAACATTAACACTTTGAGCAGCTGATCGGATCTCGAGTGGGAAGATTTCACTCGGCACGAGCCACCCTAGCGGACCCCACGACCATGCGAATGCCGAGATGTACACGCAAATGGCCACAACGACAAGGATCGAATACCACTTCTCGAGCTCACCCGGGTTTCCTTGTAATCCGAACTTGGTAGCGACTGCAACCGTTATAACAGCCTACAAAAATCAACATCAAGAAAACATAATCATGAGTATGCATATGTTAATACAAGTTAACAAAACAACAATAAAGAAATCCCAATTGCATATGCCACGTAGAACAGTTGGTAAATAGCAGAATTTATGCAAATAAAGAAACCCTAATTACATATAAATATTTAGTTACCTGACAGATTAACATTTGAATCCCACCCTCAAGAAACAAAAACCTTCTTCCAACTTTATCTACAGTAAAGATCGAAACGAGGGTTGCTAAGGAGTTAACGATGCCGGTAATGAGGGCGGAAAAGAGCGAAGCATTATCTCCGAATCCCATGGTTTTGAACAAAACCGGGGCGTAGAACATGAACACATTCATTCCTGTAAGTTGTTGGAAGAACGGGATGAGGATTGCAAACGTTAATTGAGGTCGATATTTTCTTCGAAGAAGATTAAACCATGGGTGTTTAATCTTTTTCGATTCTTCACTTGCTGCAATGAGATCGTTGAATTCTTCATCGACATTGTTAACACCACGAATCTTTAACAATCTTTCTTTGGCTTCTTCAATCTTCCCACGTTCGATGAGCGAGTTCGGTGTATCAGGGAGAACAAGAGAGCCAACGATGAAGATAACAGCAGGAACAACGGCTCCTCCCAGGCTCAACCGCCACCCCCATCCACCCTTGATTTGTGCAAATCCGTAGTTAACTGCATTCGCAACTAGAATTCCAATGGTTATGGAGAGTTGAAACATGACATTAAGAGCACCACGATACTTATATGGAGCGACCTCTGATAGATATAAAGGCACAGACTGCAAAACACGATGATATAAACATCAAGATTAAGTCTTTAGGTTAAAAAGATGTATATATACATAAGATCAAACAAATATCGATCAGAGTTGATTACCTGATTAGCGAATCCAATACCGATGCCAAGAAGAATGCGACCAATGATAAGCATTAAAACGTTTTGAGCAAAGGCATTGACAAGGGCTCCGGCGCAGAAACTGCAACCGCCGACAAGCATGGACTTTTTCCGGCCGGCAGCTCTGGTTATAAATGATGCGAACCATGATGCCACAAGTGCAGCCAAGTAGAGCGATGATGTGAACATGGTTAACGTCGTACTGTTGAACTTGCAATATTGGTTGCTTGATGCAATAGTTTCCATCTGCTTCATGTAAACCGCCGGAAAGAATTTCTTCAAGAAAGGCGTCATAGAAGTGACCCCACCTGAAATTCCGATATCGTATCCAAAAATCAGACCACCGCATGCTGCCACCAAACATGTGATGAAGACGTTGAATGTGAGGTTTCCGGGATATGCTTTTGAATTAGCGGAAGCGATTACACCGCCTCCGGCCATGTTGAAATTGATTGTTGAAGCTTATTACGAATTGGAATTGAATGAATTCAAGATTATAGAGAAAAATTATTATTAAGTTATGAAAATTAGGAAAAGAAGATGGTATTTATAGAAGAAGTTTGTTGTTATTGAGTTGTAATCACACTCGTAACAAATTGATTTTGGGATTCGTTAAATCTTATCCCTAATTGGATTTGAATCAGATAAACCCAAATATTTATCGAATTTGTTATCCATTAAGCAACGTTTTTTCATAAGATTTCCAGATTTCTTTTTAAGTTTTAATTAGAACTAAAAAAGTATTCCCACAATAATGCAGCGAGATACATCTTTATTTTAATATTTCGTTTTTTTTATTTCAGTCGATGTTATAATATGAAATTATATGATTTTGAAAAAATAATAATGTTTTTATTTAAAGTATAATTTTAAAAATATCATAAATTTTTGACAAAAATATATCGATATTGGTATCAAATTAAATATTTAAAATTTCTCATTTTTTGTGTAATTTTTTAATTCAATTTTCTTATTATAATTTAATTTAGATTCAATAATAAAGTAATTTATATTTGGTTTAATAATTTAATTTGATTTTATATAAAGATAAAAGTTAATTATTTTATTATTACTCAATAATTATCCTAATTATATTTTAGATTTTTCATATTTTAAAATGAAATATTTATTCTCTATTTAATTATGTTTATCAATGGTTAGTTATGTGAATTCAAATATAAAATTTTAATAAGTTGTATTTACGCATAATTTTACTTGTAATCTTAAATTTTAAGTAATATACATCAATAAACAGTACTTTATGTATAAAAAATTAATTTTTAAAAGTTTTTATCAAATGCTTAATAAATATAGTATAGATAACAAAATAAATAATTGGTTTAAGAACCATGATAATAATGAAAACATTAAGTAAAATATATAATTCAACATGAATAAATAAATATGACAAATTAATTAACGAGAAAGAAAAATATTGATGGGTATTCATGTTATCAACTTCCTTTTTTTTTTCTTGCTTTAAAAATTGATTTTTATATTACTAGTTTTTGTTTTCAATATAATGAAATGAAAATATGTAAATAAAAAAAGTGATCATAAAATATGGGATGTAGATCAAGAATATCTTGTCCATAAATTTTGATTTTTTTTTTTAATTTCTCAAAACAACATTCCATAAATGTAAAATAAGAAGGTATTCAAGTGTTAAAATTTAATAGCAAAAGATAAGCTTGAAAATTGAATAGTAGACAACATTTCGAGGTGAGTTTTGCATTCGTTTTTTAATCTTGAGATATACATGGAGCCAGCTATATAAAAAATGGAATCAAGCAAATTCAATAAATATATACAGTCAACGGTACGACAAAGAACGCTGCCAACATGCGAATTTGTTTCCTATTTATGCAATTTACATGCTCTCTCTCTCTCTCTCTCTCTATATATATATATATAGAGAGAGACAGAGAGAGAAAGTTTGTTTCAAATGTGACCAATCACATTTGTACAACAAATGCAACCCAATAAATCTAAATATTTATTGAAATGATGAGAGTTTATTTATTATGATTTAAATATTTATGGAAGATGAATAAAGTTCATTAATTTATGATGTATACTTTATATTAGTAAACAATTAAAACTTCTATAAAATTTCATATTTATCAAATTAAATGGACGGTTGAGATTGAGTTTATTGGTTGTACAAATGTAAATGATTGTATAATAACCCACACACACACACACACACACACATATATATATATATATATATATATAGGGTTAGGTTCACGTGAGACCAATAGTTTTTCATGAGACTCGTAAGACCAATTTATATTCATTGATCAACTTTATAAATTAATGATCAAATGGTCTAAAGTTGCACGGTGACAATTTTGTGATTATTGAGAAGTCTCGTGACAGTTTTGTGATTATGAATGTTCAGATTGTAATCTAATCCAAAGATTGAGAATTGATCTTACGGGTCTCACGAAAAACCTTTGATCTCACATGATCCAAATTCTATATATATATACTATCTTATAAATCATTTGGCTAAAAACTCTTAAAAAACTCTTAAACCCGTACATCCCTAAACGATTTCATCCCTATCCGATTTCATCCCATATTTGAATTCGTGTAACTAACTGCAGATAAACACAATCAAATACAAGATAAACATCTCATTTTAAACATAAAAAATCTAAAATATAATTAGGATAATCATTGAGTTCGAACGTAATACTTAATTATTATCTTTATAAAATGTTGTATTATTAAACCAAAAATAAATTATTTCATTATTAAACTTAAATAAAATTATAAAAAAAATATATTATATTATAAAGCATTTGACAAAAACTTTTAAAAACTACTTTTTATGCGTAAAGTACTGTTTATTAATGCATATTATTTAAAACTCAAGATTACAAGTAGATTGTGCGTAAGTACAACTTATTAAAACTTGATTTTTGAATTCGTATAACTAATTGTGGATAAATATAATCAAATAGAGGATAAACATCTTATTTTAAAATATAAAAAAT